GCCTCACTACATCCAGATTTTTTTTTAATAATTCAAGACAACACACAATTGGTGGTTAAGGGACAATGTCTAACAACAAAACTAGGAGACATATAATCATACCTAATCCCTTTGTCCTAGAGAGGCAAGAGCATAGTAACACATGGACAATCATTACCAGGTGGTTTTTTGCCTCCGCTGTGGCCTGTTTCTTTTGGTTTTTGCCTTATAATAATAATATCACTGCTGTTGCTGGATTTGACTCATAATTAACACCATCTGTGCCTAACAAAGACCTTCAATCATCCTGGCATTCAGTTGCCTGCAGAGGCCATGCACTGAGCTGCACACCCACCTGGCTTCCTCTGTAGCATGCTAATGAAAGCAATGAATCTTAGCTATGGACACTTTCCCAGGAAAATTTGCAGAGCACTGAAGAAAATTAAAGTTCATTGTCACAAATAAGGCTTTCTTCTGGAAATCACTTTTCAATTAAAGCAATAATGGTGTACACTCAGTACTAACTACAAGCACAGTAAAGATAAAATTAAAATACTTATAAGCAAAAATCCTATTTAATGATGTATCAGTTTAAAGGGTATGGACTGAGGTTTTATGAACTACAGATTTTGTGACTTGCTGAGAATCAGCAGTACAAACAACTGAAGTTAAAATTCTGTTATAATACCAAAAACCAAGTTACTTCAAAATAAATACTCACAAGTAATTCACTTATATATTTAAGCTAAATTTTATTTGAATCAGAAAATTACATCTATAAATCCATTTGACAAGTGAGCAGTTAATATAACTACAGGGAATTAAAAGGGTTTTTTTTTTCCCTTTTTATGTAAAAAAGTAGTGAAGAGAACACATATAACTGGATTTCCTTCAGCATGGAACAAAATTTATCAGCTCACAGAAATGGCCAGAAACTGATGCAGTGCTAACAAAAGTAAAATTAGCAAAATATTAAAATTTCACAATGCCACCAGCTGCAAGGTACTGTGGGAGACTCCCCTCCCAATAATGCAGGGAACAATACTGTTTTCATCTACATGCCAAGACACAGACCACTGTAATTTTAGCAATTTCAGCAATGGTAAAGATAATCTAACAGCATTTCCTTGAACCAGATCCCAGAATTTTAAGTCAACTTCTACATCTCTTAATCATACATCACAAAAAACTATATATATATATCTATATATATATTAACTCTACTGGGTACTTAGCATGAAGGAATGCTCCTCCTGTAGCCACTTAGTGTGGGTTAATGAGTGTACTAAGACAAACTTTATAAACATAATTAAAATACTTTTGCATGAGTAGATTTCACTACAAGCAGGAAGTTTAGTACAATTTAAGTCCTACTTACTTAACTCCTCAAATATGAAGATTGAAAGGCTATATAAAATCTGTGCACGCTGAAAATACTGGTAAATACATGTGATTTTGCTTAGCAAAATCAAATGTCCCTCAAAAGACAAAACACAGAAGCAGTAGCAAACAAGCAGGAAAGCCCAACACAGTATGCTATCACAGTTCAGCCTCAGATGTTCCCACAACACAAGAGAATTCATAAGGACTTGAAACAAAGTGCTGCTTTTAGGGAAAAAAATTCTAGTAAGACTTTCCAAGAGAATTGGAAATGCTAATGACACTTTTCTCCTTGTGCTGTCACACAGGAAATTTCTCAAACAATATATATAGACTTCCAATGCACCCTTCCTTCCTAATTTATTCCCATGCAATGGCAAGAAACCAACATGAATCCTCCAAAACAAGATACCAAACTTTTCATGTTGCATTGTTTTGTTAGGCAAGTTCTAGTATAGTATCTCTGACATGTTTCCAGCTAAATTGCTACTAAACAAGTAGACAAAATCACCTAGGTTGGAATCATAAAGTCTAACTGTTAGCATAGGTGAGACAGACTTGCTTCACCCTAAATGATAAAGACAACACCCAAAAAATACTACAGGAGACAGAAGCAGCACAAGAAAACTGTTTTCCTCGAGGGAATCACAATCCTTTCAAAAAGTCATCCACATACAGAATAAAACACAAAAATACAATTAAGTTCTGCATGGCCAATATCAAACGCAAAAATACAATTAATATCTGTCTTTAAGAGTGAAATTTTATGCAGTCAGATATATAGGGGGATACTTTATATATATAACAGAAGTTGGACCAAAGGAAGAATAATGATGCAGTAGTGAGAATGTCAGCAATGAAGTTGCAGCCACGGTAAGGTGGCTTAACACTTAAAGATGTTTCCATCTTTCTTATAAAATTATTTGAGTAATAGTTTGTAGTGGCTAAAAGTATCTTTTTGGGCTATCTCTCCTGTCATAGCACTGATGAAAGGGGTATGAAGACGTGGAGGGTATGTAGGGTATTTTCTGATTGTTTTAGAAACATATAAAGCTTTAAGGAAAGCCCATTTTTTGTGATGAAGTATGGTGCAGAATCCAAAGTTTGTACCAGAAATAGAATCAGTACAGAAATATTTTATAGCAACACAAAGCTACTTAATTTGCTCTACTGAGATACAGGACTAACTGGCATGGAAGATGTTGAAGCTGCACCATATTCTGAGCTCAGATCTCTCCAAAGAGCATTGCACTGGAGGTGCCATTTCATCTGGTACTACTCTGGCAGAGTGTCAGAGTGATGAACTGGGAAACATAAAAATGCTCTTCGTTTACCCTCCTCTCATAACTGTGACAACCTTCATACTTCAATTCAGCCTTCATACTACAATTAATCATGACACATGCTTGCTTGAAAGCCTCTATGGCCTTTTCACTCTTCCCTTCAGAATCTAATGAAACAGTGCTGTTTTTGCCATGTTTCTTGATGCCCCTTTGGTATGCAGTCATCAGGACCCATATGGACATAGCATCATTGTATCTATAAATCTATAGGCAGATTAGGGGTCTTGGGTGAATAGATCACTGCCAAGATCTATTAGACAGCTGCTCACACTAGCACTCTTCAGCTTTGGATTGAGACACAATTTTTCTAACTCTCCACGTAAGAGGCAGTAAGAGGTGAGATTCCATGGCACAGGCAGAACACAGCAGCCCTGGAATGCATTGTTAAGGGAAAGCACACCCTGGTGCATGCCACCATATCTCCAGTGGGAGCACCAGAGCCTATTGGTCCCACTGATCCTGGACAAGCTGTAGTCTCTGTTGTTCCAGCTGCTCTGTTGAGGATACCACAAGCATTCCTCTCACCCTACCTTCATGATTTCCTGTTTCACCAAATTCTCAAAGGAATGACTTTTTCCAAGCATGCACTTGCAGATAAGCATTTACAAAAAAACCAAAAACAAATTAAAAAAAACCCACACAGAAAAGACCAAGATATGTATGTTGAACTAAAGGAGGGTAAGAGGGGAGAAAGGAGGAGAAACTGAAGAAAAAGTGTGCAAGTACAGTATGATAACTTCAGGTTCCTGAATTTAAACTGCAGCACGAATTAAACATTGACTGAAAACCAAAAGAAAGGCACAGTTAAAACACTTGTTGATCAAGCAGTCAATAAGCTGGTATTAGTACATGGCTTGGGTGGCCCAGGTGGCCCAAAGAAAGCTTAAGTGTCCCAGAGATTCTCCCATGTTGTCAGCTTTGCTCTCCATGAGGAAAACAGTCAAAGACTCAAAAATTCAGCACCTAAAATTCATCATATATTCCATTAGTTTCACAAAAACCAATTACCCTGACACATAGCTGTAGTTGATCTGAAATTGAAATGAAAAATAGGTTTTAATCTATTCCACACTTTTGACCTGGAAATATCAGGTATCCTGAAGCTTTGCCACTTGGCTTTAAAAAGTTTTACAAAGATCTTGAGAAAGGGACCATTTTATGTACTTCAGTGGTGACATATTACAGAAAAATTGCTATAATTACCAGAAACACTCATTGCAATGTTATGAAGGAAAAGCAATTGTCCTCACTTCAAGGGAGCTTAAGACAGAACTTGAGTTTTCCCACCACTTGGCCCCTCCCCACTAAGAAAACCTCTGCTTTAGTTATTGCATTATACTTGACACATCTACGGCTTCAAACTCGCACAATACAGAGCTGGCATGGACTGACTCTGGTGTACAATCTTAACAGTTGCAGAAATGGAAAGCCTTAAACTAGCTCAGAGAAAAAACAGTAAGCATGTTATCATAGAACTTTAAATTGCTATTGCTTCTTCAGAATATCACTCTACCAAAAGAACTCTATTCAAAGAAGAATATTTTTTTTAAGTCCCTTTTTATTCATTTCTTCAGATTTAGGCTACCAGTCTGCCTGTTACAACACTGACAGTGCCCAGCTCGATGTGAACACAAGGGTGGAGTACGAACAGTATCAGAATATGGTCTGAGTTCTCTCATTTGTATCAAACCACCACACGGCCTGATGAAACTTTCTACTGCCTGGGCAAAACCACAACACTGTATGATAACATCAGAGTAAACCTAAACAACACTGAGATGCTTTGGAGACTATTAGTAGTTCACCTTATCTTGGTAGAAACCAATCACGCTCACAAGCTGGAGATAGAGAGATGCCAAATACAATGCTTGTACTGTCGAATTCATGCAGAGATTTTCAGAAGTGTTCTTGTCAGTCTCCCCAAACACTTTTTTCCTCCTCCAAACTGCAATTTTCTGACAAATGTTTTTAGTCTGTATTTCTTATCCTAGTCTTGATTTTGAAAGATTCTACAGATGCATAATGAATATAAAAACTGTAATTTTGCAACAGTATGTATAATCTCAATACACAAAAGTAGTTTTCCTCTCCATTCTACAGATCCAATGTGACTGTGTTCAATTTAGTTTATTTTTTTTTCCCATTCTTGAGTTATTTTTTAGAACCTTTGCTATTATAAAGTTCTTTGCACTCAGGCGATGAGACCAAGCACTGATTTGAAGTAGATGAATGGAGAAATTCAGAGATGTATAATTGCTGCAGGAAAGGAAAAAAAGGAAAATGTACTCAGATACTCACTTTGATGAATCTATGAAGTATATTACAAGAGCACCAATACTAAGAGCGAAGACTAAGACAACCTACAAAAGAAAAGAAAAGAGTAATTATTTAACAACATTAACCAATTATTCTTTTGCATACAAAGACAACAAAAATAAATCATAAGCTAGTTTAATTTCAGCTCTGATTTTCTTTAGAAAATTAGTCCTACTTGAGCTTCAAACATTATATATTATCATAGAAAGCTTTCTTGCATTAAAAAGAGACAAAAAAAATCTATCTTTACCAGACCTATCCTCCAGGATCGCTCACTGGTCATAAACCAAGAGCGACCAAACTTCCATTTATATGCGTGGCTGTGAAACCCACAGGAAAACTGTAAGAATGCACTCCTGTCCATAGAGACTATAGAGAACTTTCAAACAGTTTAAAGCAATACTTGATGCAGCACATCATGACTGTTACGACTTTTGTTGACAGTCTTAACATTTAAAGCTACAGATGAGTACTGGGATAAAAATATCTTGATTCAATACAGGCTTCAGACTTCTTTCTGAAGCTGCTGTATTATGAACAAGCCTGACTGAGGATCACAGTGCAAGGAGGGGACACACAAGGTTTTCATTCTAAGTAGACTTTCTGAAACAATGTAGATATTCCTCTGCTCCCAGCTATCACTCAATGCTGTAAAGGCAGCATCTGAAGCAAGGTATAATAATTATTACATAACCAGACTTTTAAGTTCTGCATGGCCAATATCAAACATGTACATACCTTTCAATAAAATAGTCATTAATGTATGAATATTACATAATTACTACTAATTATTAACATAACTATTTAACTGAAAGCTTAAATTATTTTTCCTTACTTTTATATCCTGCTGACCATAATATTTTTTTACTTTGTGAAAGGGAAAATATCCTTTTTCAGACAGAGTGCAAGTATCTGTTGTCTTGTCTGATGCATTATCACCTGAAGCAGTGAGATCTGTCCATCAAATTCAAGAATCAAAACATGAAATTAATTGAAATAACATTTTTCTACCTAAGTCTAATACATTGTTAACATCTAGAGTTTGAATCTTCTTTCATTGTGTACAGGTGTTGCAAGGTGAAATAAGCTATTAAATTCACACCAACTGGTAGGAATCTCACCATCACAAGAAATTATAGTGGTGAATAGAACTTGTGGATTGTTATCTGACAATATACCCTAAATTAAGATTAGCAGTGATTCCAAGGCCCATTTTTCTCTGAATTAAGATAGTGGGAATCAAATTATTATGCACATTCTGCTCTACCTCTTGGAATATTCCAAGCTACATACAATCACGGTTTCAATCTGAATCAAATCTTCTCCATCATTTATTATCAATCCATTTCAAGGAAAGTCTTCATTTTTTAAAAAAAACCCCAAAATTTCAAAGAATTCTGAGTGTTCTGAGAACACAGAGCTGACAATTCTGGCAAAAAATGTTGCTTTTTCCCAAACCAGTTTTAAACACAGCTATTCACTTTCAAATAATTTAAAGTCAAGTATTAGTGGTAATGTTTTACCCTGCATTCTGTGGAATCATTTCTATAGTAACAACATCCTCAAAGCCACTATTAAATATAGGTATCTCTTAAAAAAAAAAAAAAAAATAGCATTTAAATTCAATAAAAAAACAAACAATCTATAAATAACAGAAGAAAGAAAAGAAGAAAAATGCAACCCCAAAAAAGCCACAGGACTAAAGAGATTTACCCTGTGGCAGGAGTTTTGGGTTGCAGAATGCTGAATCTTCCCTTAATGCTGGAAATGTAATCCATTTGGGACTATATAAACACTCTTCTCATTCCTTCAAGTTTCACATAGCACACAAGGACTTGGTAAAACTTAAAGGACTTTAATTTTCCTTTTCACATAGCAAGTCTTGAGTTACAACTTTCAGTCATTGCCTCCTACCCAAAGGAGTCCTGTAGAGCAAACCCAGCAAAACACTGTGTCAGCCTTGCATTTCAGGTATAGCCAATCCTTTGTTAATCATCACTGTGCTGCCTAAATGTTATAGACGTTCTGGGTAAGACCTTCCAAAACACTTAAGGCTTTTAAGTGTTCTGTGACAGTTCATGTGACTGCCCCTAAAATGCAAATATCTGTATTTTGCAAGCAGCTCCAGATTCCCATGCTATGCCAAACAGTGAGATACATATGTATGCAAGACTACAACATTACCCTTCTGTTACATATATATAAACACCTGATTTTAAATCAAGGCTTATTTTCTTTTCTATTGCCTTGAAACACATACCTAACATGATACATAATGTCTCAAAGAATCACAGAAAGGGTATCAGAAGAGAATGGAACACTGAAGTCCATTTCTTTTTCCTGCTAGCAGAGAAACACGTTTTTCCTTTGCTAAGCGTCAGAGGAGTTGAGCTGAAATTGAAACCATCAAGTGTGTGGGAAAAGCAGACCCTGAACCAATCAGGTTGAAGTTATATTAAAATAAAAAAAAAAAAAAACCCAAAGAAATAGAATTTAACAAACCCCAAACTCTTGTATGCTATATGATAATACCTCAGATGCAAGATTTTTGCTGCATTCCCATCTAAAGAGTGTGGAGTGTAACCTGGTTATTCAGATTCTGGATGACAATTACTGAGTTTGCTCTAGTGTTCCCTAGATTGCCAGTGGAGGTAATGTCTGTTTTAGAGACCTTACTAGGCTAGAGGGGTGTCACAAACATAGACCCATACCCCAAATTCACAGCAACAAAAATCAGAAGGAGGGAAAAGCACATAAGTATGTGAATTACTGCCTTTCTTGTTAACTAGGCCATGGCAAGAAGTTTGCTTCCTTTGTTTATTATTTGAATGTATTTGCCAAAACATTGCAATTGCTACACATCTATTATAACCCTTCTGTACAGAAGGAAAGAATCCTTTAATTTATAATGGCTTGCTGTTTGTAGAAGATTGAGAAATGTGAACTGATATGCTAACAGCTATACTGACTAAGCACTTACTAACAAATTAAAAATAAACACCAATCTGATTAAAAGAAAGAGGGGGAAATACATGGAATAGTTGCTGCATATCCCTAAATCTTTCATAAAAAAAGGAACAGAGAAAATCCAGCCCCAGATTTAAACAGAAGTGTGGAATGCCTTTTTAAGGCAAGAGTCAGGGAAATTGCAGATAAAATCCATCTAAGGAAAATTAAAAATCAGTTTTGACTGATTCCAAGATACTCTATAAGAGCTTTGACTGCCCTTCTAGAAACTCAGGCATCCATAATAAATACAAAAAGAAAAAAGAGAATAAAAAAAGGAGAGTTTTGATAAGGGTGTAACAGCATAATAATACTGCAGGCAAGCACCAACTCGGAGAAACACTGTTCCAAATAAGCTCACCTTCCAGGCCCCAGCCTATGTAACAAAGGATACTCCAAGGGGTGGCACTGTTCCCCCTACAACTCCAAAACTGCATTATTGAAGAAAAAAGGGAAAACAAAAAGGCTGGTCCATGAGACAGGAGGGCTACAGTTAATAATGAAGGGACTCTAGAGCAGGAACTTCAGTCTCATATCCTGTAACACTTGAACATTCTGTGAAAGATGAAACAGAACTCTTTGAAGTTTCAAAGGCAAATTCTTGCTTATACAAGATTAAATTATCCAAACATAATTAATACGAAATAGCATAGAACTCAAGAGGCAAAGCAGAAAATCAAAAAGGAATAATAATCCCTTTTTATTTTCCTCCAAAATTAAGTATTAAAATAGAAAGTATACAGTGAAAAAAAAAAAAAAACCTGTCAGAAATCTGCAACCCCTAACACCTCAGGGCATCAGAGAGTTCTTATTTTTTCTGACAACAATCTGTTCTGTTCTTCAAAAATGTTTCTTTCAAACTTGTATTCTAGGGTTAATTATTCAACCCATAGGCTACTGTAATCGTTAGAATATACTAGGTTTTTAGTTACTAATATTTCTTGAAATTCACTTAGTTCTCATTTCTACATTCACACAGTGGATTCTCTTCATAAGATATTGAGTTTTATCAACTATGATTTTAAAATAAAATTCCATTTGTTTTTATATTTATAATTAGATATGGAGAACACTAAGTATTTCCTATATATATAAAGCTAAAACCTCAATGATACATTAAACTTTTGTTACACAAACGTTTGCACAACTAAGATGTGAACAGCCTGATGTTTTGATCTAACTTGGATGAAAATTCGCATACCTTAAATATAAGCCCCAAATGTCCTTTAACCATCAAATAAGAAATCAATTGTAGTTCTTTTATAGACAGAATTTGCTTATCCAGATTTGTTAGGAATGAAAACCATAAAAAATCTAAGGACACACCTGCTTCAAGTTACATTTCAGAAGTTAGCAATTACTTCTAGCTTGGCAATGCCAGCATTAGTTTGTAGACTCTAGGAGATGTACCCACATCTCTGCAATTATTGCAATTCAACAAAAGTAAGACCTTCTTGACCATAGAAGATCCAGAATATCTTAACTAAAATTGCCAACTCTTAGTTAGTTAGTGAACTTAATTGCTAACTTAGTTACTCAATTGCTAACTCTTAGTTTTGAGCTTGAAGCTATTAAAACACTAAATCCAACCTTTGCAATTTTTATAGCCTCATTAAAACTTTTCAGAAACTCAGACCTGAAAATCTTTTACAAGATTTTATATGCAAGTAATTTCCATTCAGTTACATTTTATGATTTTGTTTTTTGTTTACTGCTATTACACAAAAAGGAGTTAACTAAAAAGTTAATCAGCTATTAAATTTTAGGGTAACTGATTTAGTCATCAGCACACAGTAAAAACAGTACTGTAAATTTTGGTAGCTTTACATGATTTTTTGCTATATAAATTTTCCCCTTCAGCAAAGCTCATATAAACTTACATTTTTCAAGACAAGTCTGAGTTTATCCAAAAGAGGAGGTGAAGGGGAGTGAGAAATGACTACCTGATAGATCAGTGAGCAGTAAATTCTCAGTGAACTTCTGTCAGAAAATTCATAGGAAGGATTTAATTTTAAAACCAAAAGGCATCAAAGTAGTC